CAGCAGGGAATGTTAGTGCAGGATAATTAAACAGGATGTGACCCGGTATTTGTATTTCAACGTCCGCTATCTCTTGGTTTAACGACTCGCTAAAGCAGGTACACTCACAGGATAATCCCATCGATCCAATCCTAGTTGAACTTTAACTTTTATGTCGAAAAATACCCGTTGAGTTCGGTAACCTTTCACTAATGTATACTCGGTATCCGTGCTTGGTCTTACAGGTAATTGTCGCTAAGAGTAACAGAGTTCCGCTTTACAAAGTCTTCAACTATGAAGTAAATGTCTGCTACGGTTCTTTGCGCAAGAAAACGTTTTCTTTATTTGCCTTAAGGTCTGTAAGGGAAACTAAAATATGTCATCTTTACAAGACATTCTCATTTGCTCAATTACTTGGATAGAATATGCCGAAAATTGAGCTCTCATTCTGACCTGGCAGTTGATTGCTTCTCTTATCAAGCAGAAGCTGTATAACCAGAAACAACTTGTAATTTAATTTTTGGCTATTTTGCTTTCAGTTGAACTAATTATAAATATTCTTGAACCAGGTTAAACCACCCAAGACATTAAGTTCCAAAGGTAATCAGCAATGGAATTTCAGTCACACTCAGGTACTATTTTTAGAAACGTTTTATAGCGTCGCAGAACTTTAATTAGGCATAATTAAAGGGCACATATTAAAAGACAGTATGTTTTATCTATTCAACCACCTATAGAGCTGGACTGCTGCCTATTTAAACATTTAAAATGGACGTAGAAAATTTATTGTGCACTGACAGTAAGTATTAATTGTAGAAAAGATGCTGGACTGGACGAATCCACCTATCTGGAAGTGGCGTATCAACGATTGTGGCGTCCCTAATCAAGGTTTATTTGAAATAGCTGCAGATTTCTGTGCTCGGGAATGCTTGTGATTTTGCATTTTCAATGTGCGTTTGTTGCATCCTCTTTTTCTCGTTCGGATATGAGTTATTTTGGCCGCAGTGGCAGCCAGGAGAACTGGATCACAAAGATCAGATAGACACCTACCTTAAACCAGCACATTTGTTCATTTATTCCTCTGAGTGAAGCAGATTATGTAGTTCAGTTAGGACAGTGTGTCGTCAAGCCTGGTTTCATAAAGCGCCCAATTTGAGGCCAAAATAACTTTAGTTAGCGGAACGCTTCATGTTTTTAACGTCTACGACAAGCATAGCATTTACAATGTGTATCTATTTTGAACTATTGATCTCTTTAGGTTTGTGTTGCAAAATTTTTGCATCGATCTGCTAGATTGGTGTTAGCTAGAATTAGGTTAATCAGAATTATGTAACCTAGCTGATGTGATATTTACCACTGTACAATCTCCGGGCTTGAGGTCTGTGTTGCCAGAAGAAGTAGAACACACCCATAACGAAATTTGTCGCTTTACGTTGTAAACTACAATCTAAACAATATCGTTATTGAGCCAAAGACGCCACCACGTACCTCACCTTGAACCACTGGTAAGCAGCTAGTGTTTGCCAATAGACTGACAGGTACATTCCGACTATTTTAAGCGTGTTTCGAGCAGCCAAGTTCATCCTGCAAGATTAAATCGAGGTCGAATTCCTAGGAATCATATTGCAACCCCTAGATCGATATTTATATCAGCTGATGACGTACAGTCACAGCTTTGAATTTCGCTATGATGAATCCATAACGGTTTTCGCGTGACCAATTATACCACCGGACTAAAACTCTATGCAGAATTCCGGGTTCGTTCGCTGTACCATGCCAGATTTTGACACCGTCTGCGAAAAGTAAGATGTTCGGCTGTAGTACATTGAAATGTCTGTTAGTGTCAAATCCGCTAGGTGCTCGAGTGACGCATAAAACTCCTGAATACAACCTAGACGTTAAATACGGTATTATTCTAATAATAATCCAAACGCAAAATGTCATATTTCGACAACACCCGTTCGGTTTGAAAACAACCAGCCTTCAAAACATCAAAATTAATTGCAATCTGTACTTGTCACCGTACATAAACAGTCGCACAACACAGATATCAGGATCAGACTACTAACTTTTTTACATTAAGTCCGATGAAATTTGCCTCACTGGTTTGCTATACAGCTTATGTAGAGGAACGCGATGGGCTGCACTTTTGGGCTGCAGCCACTACCTCAACGAAACCCACCTTGCTCTTTACGAATATAACTTTCACGAGTGCTGGTCAGTCTGTGAAGGATTACAGATACAAGCATTTTTGAGGCGATGGAGATCAGACTGATTCCTTTATGGCTCCCGCATTCCGATCGTGAAACTCCCTTGAAAATTGGGACTATGACGTAGCGGTTCCAGTGGGTGGGGACAGTTTCTTGCTACCATAGTTTCATTATTAACTTGTCTAAATCATCAACAAGAGCATGTCCCTCGAATGTGAGTAGGGTTGGATGAAGATTATCTGGCCGCGCAGCTTTATGTAACTTTAACAGTCTGATCTCACGTTCGACTTCTGAGCGACAGAGTGGATCCAAAGGGACAGCTCACAGAGCGTGGAGGTCAGTTGCCGGCGAGAAATCTAACCATTCCGATCGATTAAATTGCCTTTCAAAGTACTCAGCTCAAAGCTCCAGCGTTTTGACAAATTATTGATAGACTGTCCACACTCGTCACGTACAGTTTCACTAACACCAAGTCTCCTGCTGTCCGTTTCCCGTATCAGACGGAATTAATTGCGATGGTTAGCATGGGCAGCGGACGTTTGCATTTGTGAATCACGCTGAGACCAACAACATTTGCGGTTTCCCTTCAGGCTGGCACGGAGTTTTGCCCGGAGCTCTTTGCGAGTTTCATTGTGTTCGCTTCCAGTAGGAATATGCCGGCAAGCATCGAAAAGTTCCAGAGAATGCGAAGAGACCCAATGTTCATGAGAATTTGCCTGCTACTATTAAGGTCTGGTGAATATGAGACCAGTGAGCTTCAATTGCATCCAGTGAGCGCTTATTCAACTCGCATGTCAGCGTACTTTGATAGGCATTCATAACAGCTGGCTTCGCCAGTTGGCTGGTGTGTATACGCTCACGACGTCGTCGTGGGCGTCCGCCAAAGGGCATCCGCAGGTCAGCACATACAAATGCATGGTCGGTGTCTAATCGTGTGCCCCCAAATCGAGCGATAGTTCTGGACGCAGCATCCGTTCACCCCCCCCCAACCGTCCAAAGTGCATTCAGTGACTTTAGCATGTCCCAATGTGTATCCGCATCTGTGAAGGGATCTTTGCTATATCCAATAGCATGTTTCAGAGTCACCGCGGTCTTGCCCTCCGCAGGCCTGAACCACACCACCGCACCCTAGCCTCGCTTGGATTGTTCTCCGTCGTCGCGACACGCAGGTCACTCGCTGCAGCCCGACGTACGAGACGCCCCCTTCCTCCTCCCTACCAGGGCCCCCCCCCGCGGTCCTTGGCCGCGGCCCACACAGCCCTAGACACCCAATTCACCCAGGCCTCGCCTCGTGCTAAATACGCCCCGACAGCCTCCCGCGGCATCCCGCCGTCCCCCCCTCGTGTACGTCCGGCTGGCCCCTCAACGCATGCCGGAAGGTGTGGGCTGCCACCTCGTTGTATCCCCATGTCTGGTACTCTCTGATATGTGAGGGACGTTGTCACAGACCCAAAGATATGACTATATATATAATTGTGGGTATACTTTCGCAATACATTCTCTTGTCCGTTACCTTACCGGGCCCCCCATTTTCTATTCCGCTCATCCACACCTTCCTAAACCGCGCAGAGCGTCTAATCGTAATTCTTCTTCTTCTCATCCCCTTCTAAAGCGCTTCTTCTCAGTTTCGTCTTCTTTCACCGTTCTCTTCTTTAAACTCTTTTTCGTCCCTCTTCTTCTTTCTCTCTGTTCTCCTACATTGCCATTCCTTCTGTATTTGCTTCTTTCTTCTTTCTCTCGCCCATTCTCCCATAGGGGGCACAAGTGATGAGAGGATCAAAAACGATAAAAAAAAGAAATAAAGTCCGCCCTCTCGACATGATATACTACCATCGTCACTCGACCGCCCTATCACAGTGCAACCACCAGCCCCCCCCGGGCTTGATGTCTTCCCCGTGCTCTCCTCAACCATACCACTCTCCAATTTCCGCGCCCCCGTAAACCACTCCATTTATAAGCAAAACCTGTCCAAATATAAAAACACATTAGTGCTGACTCCACCCAACGATAAAACCACCTCCCCGACCGCCACTCCCCGCGGCCGGCGGATGGAGTTGCTCACATGGTGGGCATGACCACTCGGACGTGCCCTCTAACCATACACCACGAAACTTCTGCTACAGGACGGGCAAATTGATCACTAATGAGCAAACCAAGAATAAAATCACAACACGGTCAATATGTGGACCGGAACAATGTCAGAATTTCGATAGGTAATGCTGCTGGATTGTCCGAAACACAATCTCGCGTAACTTTTATTTCTTTGGGGGTCGAGGAACTAGAACATATGGCATGACACGACCCGTGACCATGCCGTAATTTTTATAATAAAAAGATCCAGGTGTGGCTTCACCAGCACCTGTGACGATCGTTACGTCACGCGTGGTCAATACGTATATTATTAGGGAGGGGGGTGGTCGGGCCCTAGATGTTGTGGCTTGCGCCACCGGTATAAGTCGCCCCACGTGAACGAAGGCGGGAACTGTCGGAAGGTCGCGAATTTGAGCGGAGAAATTGGCAAAGGTCGAGAAGGGGCTGTGTGGGATGTGGTCCCGACCCCACGCACAGCCCCTGACTACAGATGATAGAATCAGTTGTGAGGAGAGTTGATTATCAGCATTAAAAGACTTTGCTCCCCCTCCTATGAATTCGCCCTTTTTAGAGGGCAGTGCTCTTATCGACCACGCGCGGTTCCAGAGTTATTTGGTAGCTTGTTTGTTTTTTTTTCTTTTGTGATGTTTTTTTAAGGCAAGGGGTTTGAGTATTGAAAGGTTGGTATCCCCGCTGCAGTTCGAGAGATTATCAGAGCATTTATATTTGTTCTTTTTCCTTGGGGCCCCCGGGGTTGTGCCAACGCCGAGTTGGTGTCAGAAATGTTGGCCCAGCCTCTCCCCCCCCCTGATTGTGGAGCCCCCCCCCGCCACAGGAGTGCACCCGTGAGGTGGGATGGATATCTGGGTTACTTTTTTTGATTGTCATGGTCTTGTGTAGGCTGTTAAGCAGATATGCCGAGTGATTTGTAGTGGGCCCCCCCCCCCCCTCCCCCCACGACCAGCACCCCCGGCTTGCGACAGGCGCACGCGCTTCCGTCCGGCTCAGGCGGCGGACAACCACTCCGGCCCCACCTCGCGACCCAGAGACCCCCACACTGTGTGGCAAAAGCGTCCCCAGGCCCCTGCTGGGTTATGGGAAAAAAATATCCTTTCAATCAAAGGGGCATCCCTTTGTCAGCCGCTGTGAATTCCTGTGCGGGCCCGTCCCGTCGGTCGGCCGCCCGTCCCCTCCGCGACAGGGAAAGCTCTTCCGGTAGTTGGACTGTGAGTGGGCCCGTACGTCATAGCTGTTCCACTCGCTCACCCAGAGCCCACTAACCCGCCCTTACATGCAGCGCCTGCGCAAACAAGCGAATCGCCCACAAGCATACGCCAGGATGGGAGGTGGCGCGTGTGACGTCGATCGTCCTGAGCACGGAGAAGTTTCAACCGACAAGCACCGGCTTGTGGGGCCTTCATTCCCGTAATACCACCATGTGTGGGTGGTTATAGCGTCATTCTTTTCCCACGGTCAGGACAGCCCCGACGCCCATACCGCAGTGGTGTTTGACCTATACCACCCTACACGTAGCATCACAATAGCAACGGCATTTCCCGCGCCCATTGAGCCGATAGGGCTCCTGCCCCCCCCCTCCCATTCAAACGAATAACGACGGGTGATGGTGGCTATTGCCGTGCCCGCCAACATACCTTGATAGCAAAAGAGGGTTGCGGCACCCCCACACTAATCCTCTGCCCCCGGGTGTGCGCGCGGCGGGGAGTCTCATCACCGCCTTCCGCACGTGTACGGGGTCGCCGTGTGCGCACGTGGGTGGGGCACGTCGCTTTCTGCGCGCGGCCTACCCTCAACATGCACCGCGCACACACGTGTTTTCACACACCACCGTCGCCCCGGGCCCGTGCGGCGGCCCATAA